TTTCAGATTCCAAAGTCTACACGAAGGTTTTATACGTAGTAGATAGGGGCATATTAGTACTTTGGCTGTAGCACGAATGGGTCGGTTCGACCGGGGAAGTACCACGCCCCTCCAGAATACCTTATCTATATATATAATTATCAATCTACATATTTTTATTAAATTATAGTGCGCATTGCTAGTAATCATATTTAGAACTGACGTGTAGAATAATTTTTTTATTACCCGACTGCCAAGGAAGGGTTATGTTTTGCGCGCGATCGTGTTTGTTTATAACCTCGTATCTTCCAAACGGCTATGGATTTCGACAATTAATGTACCGTTTTATTCATCTTAGAAACCCAAGTGTTTTTAAATACTTGGGTTTTTAAGACGAATAGGCTATTTTACTTAGGCTTTCAGCTCATATAGTCTGTTAAACCGAAGTAGAGTTTACTTTGTTTATAGTTTATTTTAATTTTGTTTTGTATTCTCAATCTTGTTTGGATGTTTTTAGTGCATTACTTTTAAATTGTCGTTTTTGCAGTCGGGTTTTTAATTTTTTTTAATTATTTATTTTAGTTTATAGAAGAGGGGGCAAACGAGCATACGGTTCACCTGATGTTAAGTGACTACCACACTCCATGAACAACCGCAACACCAGGGGAATTGTGGGTGAGTTGCCGGGCCTTCAGAAAGGAGTAAGCTCTTTTCTTAAAGGTCCGGAAAAATCACAGGTGGTAAGTTATTCCATGGAGAGTTTGTACGCGGAATAAAACTCCTAGTGAAACGTACAGTGGTGGATCGCCAAGCATTCAGATGGTGTTGATGTTATCGGGAGGTTTGCCGCGTAGTGCGTTATGAAATTTGGCGGCTGGGATTAATCCGAACAATTCTTCAGAGCACTTCTCGTGATAGATGCGATAAAATACGCAAAGAGATGCAAGATCTCTTCGCAGCGCCAGTGAATCAAGCCGATCGGAAAGCACAAGGTCGTCAACGATTAGAGCCGCTCTGCGCTGGATGCGGTCAAGTGGAAGGAGCTGGTACCGGCGAGCCCAAGCCCAGAGATGGGAACAGTATTCCATGTGCGGCCGAACCTGCTCCTTGTAAAGTTGCAGGCGGTGTGCCGGCATGAAATACTGTCCCCCTCTGCTGAGCACGCTAAGCTTTTTAGAAGCTTCCAAGTGACCACGAAACTGCACGTCACTCGATATGTCGACGCCGAGGATTCCGATACTGGCTGAGACAACAAGGGAGTGCCTTGAAACTGAGGAGATACGACAAAGGGGTTCTTTTTAGTGGTTAACGCGCAAACTTGTGTCTTTTGAGGGTTAAACTGGACTAGATTTAGTCGCCCCCAATCCGAGATTTCGTTCAGGAAAGACTCGACTTCAGACATAAGTTTGTTCCGGTACTTGGAGACGTTTTCCCGATAAATTTTGGTGTACAGAGCATCACCAGTGCTATCATCTGCATAGCAATGAATGTTGCAGGTTTGCAACATATCATTTATATGCAGAAGAAACAGCGTTGGTGATAGCACAAAGCCTTGTGGAACACCAGCATTGATAGGCTTGTAATCGGAGCTTGCACCATCTATAACGACCTTGATGCTCCGATCTGCAAGAAAGCTGGTGATCCATTGCACAATATCTCGGAAAGCCCATAGGAAGGGAGCTTCGAAAGAAGCGCTTTGTGCCAAACCCGATCGAAGGCCTTCGCAATGTCCAAACTAACGGCCAATGCCTAACGCTTGGACTCTACTGCCGTCGCCCATCTATGAGTCAGGTAGACCAGAAGATCACCAGCTAATCGACCACTATGAAAACCGTATTGCAATCACTAATCAGCTGGTGATTCTCAAAGTACCCCATGAGCTGGCAGTTTACAATGGATTCCATTGTTTTGGAGAACAAGGAGGTGATGGCGATATGCCTGTATCTTGACGGGTCTGAGCGGTCGCGTTTTTTCAGTCACATTATTACCTTCATATATTAGGAAACCGACTTCTATTGCTGTCTATTAGAAAATTGTATTAGATCCATACTTTTCTTTTTACAATGGCTAAACTTTGTAAAAATGTTCTACTTATGTATGAGTTGATATGTTTTCTTTTAAAATTGTACTATGTTAGATTATAAATATGTTTAAAATGTAGGTGTAATAATACATAATTGCTTAATTATGCGTATGCAATCAGAGTGTAGAGTATAGAGCGACTCCACTAGATAAAGTGGAAAAAGTCGATAGACACAGATGAGATCCGCGCTTTGTAGCATTACATGGGGAATACTTATGTTCAGTATTTGCCTTATTAAGGACTGTAATCATGATGATGATGATGATGTTGATATAATTGGAACACATTGTTACGTTACCTTTTATTGTTAACAATATATATGAGCTATGTAGCCTAAAAATATAATGAGTTTTTTAAATGATCAACTATTTTAATATGTTATATATATATATGACAATGAAAATATATCTGTTTTAATACATTGCATAAGGTCAAAATGTTTCCAAACTAAGAATTTAAAATCCAATAAGTCAATAGTAAATTAATTGCAAGCTAAATTAGCAGCACAGTCAAAAATACGAAATTTTTCTAGCTTTATTTTTCTTTGTATGCCCAGAACCCCTTCAATGAAGATGGTTGGTTTACAGCTCAACAACTAACGTTTGAAAATTCTAAGTACGTCTTAAAAGCTCATAGCTGAAATGACCTATCAATAAATAGTAAAAAGATTATTTAGGTTGATGTTTTTTATACGTGGTATAGCCATGCTGCAGTTATATTAGTAGTATAGTTGTAGCACGAATGGGTCGACCGGGGAAGCACCACGCTCTCACAGAATACCAGCGTGAAATAGTAGCTTAATGCTGCTGTGTTTCGTATGGTGAATGTGGAGAATCGGAGACTCTTTTTACAGGAAACAAGGCATTCCATCTTAGTCCTCACGGGTGACAACGCATCTGCATTTTGATTTGTAATCGAGGATAGATGTAGATGTCTACGGGCCGCATCAACCACTTACCATCAGATGGACTGTGTGCTCGTTTGTCACCCTATCTTATAAAAAATTAGGTAGTATGGAGTCTTCTTGACGCTGTACCGCGGGGAGTAGTAGTTTTTTCATTATAGCAATAAATTTTGCTAAATAAATCGTTCCAGAAATATACGAGTAATATAATATTTATGAAATCAAACAGAAACCCTGTTTGGTTATATTATAGTTCACATATTTTCCATTTTCTTTTTTAATTCTCCTTTATTTTGTACGATTAAAGAACCATAGTTTAATAACTGTAAGTATTTGTCCTAGCATAAATTACCAAGCCTAAAAGGCCTTTACTAAGTATATTTATGTACATATAACATACTCAATCACACATTAAAATTCAGAACAGCTTCAAGAAAGCTTATTTTATTTTCTAGCCAACAATTTATTTATTTTAAAAAGAAAAATACTAGCAATGCTATTAACATGCCTTATATTCCTCTCCTGGAAAACTTAAAATGCTTGTGTTAGGAGTGGTTTACGACAGTAGTCGAAGGGCGATTACGAACTCACCACCTTTGAGTTCGCAGTCCGCACTGTCGCTTATTATAATATAACAATGATACATCTGAATAAAATTAAGTTTATAATTATTGTTAAATATATTTAATAAAATGCGATCTGGGCACCTCAATTTGGGCTACCTGCATTATTTGACGAGGTCGTCAACTGAAAGGATCCGTCTTACACGGAGTTTTCTGTTGTGGGCACTGAAAAACTTTTCTGTCTCGTCAGCAAGCCCTTTTTATATAAAATTTATCTTTAGATTTTTTTTAAATATAAAACCTAAGAAAGTCTCATTTAGAGTTATTGTTATTTGTAGTAAAATAGATTGTTTACAATAACTGTTCGGCAATTAAGTTCATTCTTAAATACTTTATCACTGAAGCGACAGTACGTGACAGCCCTTTATTTAAAAAAATATTGTGCTTGTAAAGGCGTGGTCAAGGAGACTGAAACAATAATACACCAAGTATGTATTAAGATTGCTACTTAATTCTTTGCAAGGTGAACGCTAGAAAGAATTTGTGTACTGCGTTTGGTTGTGTGCTAGGTTTAGGTAATAAGTTTTGACCTATAATTAATGAAGTAGAAAACTGACGATATAAATAACATTTTGTTTTGTTTGATACATCCGCTTATAAACAGTAAAAAGCAAAAATTTCAAAATCTTAAGATCTACGATATCGGGAGGATCGTTTTTCTGAAAACATTACCATCGTTTTGTTCATAAAACATATAATAAAATACATTGAATTTATTATGGATATGTTTAATTACAACTTAGGAGGAAAAATTCCAAAAAATATATAAACTGTGGTATTGATGATACTTGTGAAAACTAAAATTGCTTACAAAATAGAGAAAAATAGATAAACTAATTGTATGAATAAGTCACAACAGTATGCAACAGCGTCGATGTGTTTATACGAGTATCTACATAACGTTATTGATTTTACAATGACAGAAGCTAATAAATACGTTTATGTTAAGGAAACATGACATCCTGCGTCATCGCTATATAGTAAGGCCGGTGAAACAACAAATTTCGATATGTAACGTTTTCGCCCTCGCGGTACTCAAAGTAAAAAAGTGGGCGTTCCGCGAATATAATGATCACTTACCACGACAGCGGATTGAACTACCAGCGTGGGATCACCACGATTTAGATAGGCGGAGATGTAACGCCCCGCCCCGCGGAAAAAAACTCGCGCGAAATAAATTAATTGATTGATATGAAAAGCTCAAACGTATCATATATGTCGATTGAAGGATGAACAGGGTTCTGTAAGTATTCAAGAGCGGGATGTTTTGGATGGGTTTTTTGGGATGATGATATTATGGTGAGGATGGTTTCCGGGGCGCGGGGCGGGGGCCACGCCCGGCACGTTGCATAACGCTGGTCGTGCCAGCGGGCGGCGCTATCGATGCGCGTGGCGCGCATGCGCGGCGTACCTTCGCAGCCGTAGCCCTGGCCGATGAGCCCCCACAGCAGGTCCGAGCAGTGGTGGCAGTAAGTGGGCTTGTGGAAGGTCTTCTTGGCGAAGGAGTGGGTGCGATGGGGCGCGGGCGCGGCCTGCGCCATGGCGGGCGCGCGGGCCGGGCCGAGCGGGCGCGCTACTCATGCCGCGGCGCCCAGGGGCGCGCCGCGCTCTCCGAGCGGCTGTCGCGGCCCACCATCGCGGCGCGTCTGCCGCCCGCGCCCCACGCGCCCCGCGCACGCGCGTCCGCTCGCCCCGCACCCCGCCGCCGCACGCCTGCCCCGCACCGTCACTCCGCACGCGCGCGCCACGCTCCCGCATCCATGCCCCGCTCCCGATCAATGATGTGACTTTGTAAAAGCGGCCCTTAGGAATGTAACGATCGATGCTGTAACTTTCCGCTGGAAATGCTATCAATCTGTAATCAATACGACGGAGGTTGATGGATTTCTATAATATGAATTTTGCAGTAACTTGCCTTTGCTTTAAATTATATTGATTTTGCATTGTATAAGCATAACACATAGCAATTTTACTTTTTATTTTATTAAAAACTTTTCAAATGTAAAATAAATTTTATTTGTTTGCAAATAGCTAACTTACTTTTTATTTTACTTCTCTGTTTTAATATTTATTGTAACAAAATAGAACACCAATATGCTAATGGTCGCCACACACGGTCAGTTCAACTATTCAGTTCAAACTAAAACTGTTGATATTTTTTAAAATAGTGGATTTTCGCTATATCGATCATTATAAATATATTAATATCAGAGTTTTACATATAAGTTTATTTATCGATATATCGAAAATCCGATATTTTAAAAAATATCAACAGTTTTAGTTTGAACTGATCAGTTGGAACGATCAGTCAGTTCACTGACCGCGTATGGCAACCATAACGGTTCGAACTCGAATCCCGCCAGAATAAATTAAATTATAAGACCCTATTTTATGTAGGTAATCATTTGCAAAGATTCGATGTTTTGATAATAAATCGGACAGAACTGCCAAGAAAACGTTTTTCAAAATAAATTAAAAAAAATCTTATACACAGTATATACTTTCACAAATTATTGAGGAAGCGTTTGCTTAAGAACTTATGAATATAATAATACAATTACATTTTCATCAATATATATATAATAAAATAAAACGTAAGCCGCTTGTTCAAGCTCACGTCGTTAGACGCCCGCGCGTTAGCGCCTTCCAATCGAAAAAGCTCTTGTTTACAATTAGGAGGCGCAGCATCCTCGCGGATCGGCCCGACCGACAGACGCCAATTCCTAGCTATACACACCATAAAGCTCTAACATACTAATTATATTTTTGCAAAGTCAAACATTTCGCTTTAGACGTTTATTAGTAAATTAGGAACTGTAATTTAATAACAGCTTACGAAACGTTAATATTCTATGGTGACTATGATACTTATATTATTACTAAATTTTAATATTATGTAGTAGGTACCTATAGTAACTAAATAATTACAAAATTATTATTAAGCCCCTATGTCCACCCAAGATTGCCTCATAGAGGCAATCTATGGGGCAGGTGGGTTGTCACATGGTCGGGTTACTTCTGGATTCTGCCGACATTTTAGATGATCCCCAGACTCCCGACAAAACTCAAAATCTCCACATGAACAGCTCCTCGGAAAGTTATCGTATGGCCTATGACTTCATAAAAGCTAAAAGCTGAATATAGTAATTAGACTAAACTTTGAAGTAAATAGTTTGAATTTAAATATTTTCTGAATACTACGGGATCTAAATTGGTGTACTCTAGTAAAGTTTAATGCTAAATACATGTGGCATCCTAAAGTACTAAAAGCCTATGTTCAGCGAATCCCCCCCCCCCCGAACGGGTTCCCACCTTATCGTAGCGGGGGAGCTTAGTAGCCTTGGTTTGGTCACCCGCGGTGAACTAAGAAGAACCCACATAGCTGGCCCGAGTAGGCCACTCCGAGTGGGCTTTGCGAGTCCACAAGAGGAGTCTTGGTATGGCGATGCACCACTCGCCCTATCCTCCGCGACTCTGACGGAGCCGCACCGTCATTTGATGCGGTGGTGGTGGGGCTGCGGCATTAAGAGGCACCGCTCTCCCTACCCTCCGCAGCTGAATCTTGGTTGGCGGCGGAGCCATAGACCAGATCCGCCGCTGGAGTCGGGAAGGCTTGTGCTTCTGAGTGCTCGTTTTTCCTGGACCCACGGCCTTCGCGCATAAGACACGGGGGCGTCTGTTGCGCATGTGAAGTTGGAGGCCGTGAAGGAGGGCGCGCCATGTGTTCTGGTGCGCCTTACCTGAGAATGGGACCATGGGGATTTAGATGGTGCCAGTCTGACATAACCCGTCACTGCCCCCGCGAGATGGGTATGCACAGTGGCGAAGCTTCCATTAAAGCCGAAAAGCCGGGCTTGCCTTATTAAAACTGAATCAATCAATAATATCAAGTAATAAAATAACTAATGATTTCTTATATTTACGCGAACACTACACATTGAAATAATACTAGTTTTTACGGAATTTATCGCGTATTTTTACTTACTTAGTAACTTAGTTACTTAGTAACTGCATTTTTAGACCATCTTAACTCTATAAATTCTAAAATTCAGTTCACAATGGAGTTAGAGGCAAACAATTCCTTAGCTTTTCTAGTGTGTTAGTAATTCGGAATCCTGATAACATCTTGAGCCTTACTGTGTATAGAAAAAAGACCCATACAGATAGATATTTAAACGGTGATTCTCACCACCATCCTTCACAGTTTGCTACCGTGGGTAAATCTTTGTTTCAGAGAGCACGAGGGATCTGTGACAGTAAACACCTGGCTGCAGAGCTCCACCATGTCAAGCAAGTTTTGCATGACAACAAGCTTCGAGTCCCGCGCCTACGTCACAGTGAACGAGTGAAGCCGGCCACAGTCGAGCGTGTACCTGCTGTACTGCCATATGTTAGAGGAGTCACTGACAAGATTGGCTACATCTTGAAGCGCGCTTCCATCAAAACATACTTCAAACCGCTGAAGAAGATTGGTCAGTTTTTACCATCAGTCAAGTGTAATGTCCCTCTGCAAGATGCAGGAGTGTACAAGCTTGATTGTGAATGTGGTCTCTCCTACATAGGACAAACTAAAAGATCAATAAAAACCCGCGTTAAAGAACATATATCTGATGTGAAGAATCGACGCTCCGGGAAGTCTGCAGTCTGAGAACACGTACAGGATCGCCCCCGTCACTACATCAGATTTGATAGACCGCAAATCCTCGCTAAAGAACACCGATTCCTTCCAAGGATGATTCGCGAGGCTATTGAAATCAAAAAACATCCTAATTTCAATAGAGAAGATGGCTGGGTGCTACCATCTGCTTGGGATCCTATAATCAATAAAATTAAAACTCAACCCAAGCATACAACTGCAAGACTTCAAGATACCATAAGTTCATACTGCATAGATCGGAACAAAAGTTAAATTTTAATCTATGGTAACCGCGGTTAACTATGACATATGGACGTTGAACATCTCAGTCCCGCCCGTGACCATGAGTGCTGTAAAGCGTTCGAAACGTCGGGTATTTAAAAAGTTAAATATACGCGATAATATAAAACTAGTATTATTTCAATAATAAAATAACTCCTAAACTGTTTCAAATTATTTCAATTTTCCCGCGCACTCCACTGTAATCGACCGATGACCTCTTATTGCCTTAGCGATACGTTTAAACAAAGGTACTCTGTGCCGATACTGCTGCTGTCATAAAGTGAGTTTTAATAGAGCGATTAGTTGTCTCCCTCACTCGCGTGGGCTTCTTACGGGGCTTTCGAGAAGACGATCGCTCTCTTTCTAACCTATGGCAAAATATTCTATAATGAAATATAAATACGAAATGTATATATAGCAAAATTACTATTGAGCCAACAAGCCTGGCTTTGCCATGAAGTTGTTTAGGAGTGCGTTAGCGACTAGCGAAGTGGTTGCGGGCCCCTCGTATGCAAGTTCACTTCACATTTCAATGTTTATGTTTGTTTTTGTTGTGTTTGTTAAAAATTTATGCTTTTTCGAAGATTTTCAGTGAAAATGGGAGGATAATAGTGTTCATTGTGATGAATATAAGTGTGTTGAAGTGCTAATCGGCGAAGAAAAGGTAAAAATCTTTAAAAATGAAATTTAATATTCAATAAACATTTCTTCATACTTTAAATATAGGTACAGGACTCTTTAGTATTAAAGTTTAATTAAGTTAGTATTTAAAGGTTTAATAACTCAATATTAATATTACCATACGAATTAAAAATATCAGATTGAACAGCAGCATAAAGTATGAGACCTAGGTTTAATTTTAGTGGAAATAAGTGTTACAATCTTTTTTTAACGTGAAGCCCAAATTTTAATTAAATAAATCAAAAGAATACAGAAGAATGTATTGAGGTTTTTAAAGAATAGTACTCCCTTTAGTTATTTCCAGTTAGGTTTCTCTGTCTACTTTTCAGTATATAAAATTTTAATGGCGCCATCTACTTAATTCTATACGTAAAGTCATTTTATGGAACGATTATTGGTTGATTCTCACGATGGTACCTAAAGATTACGCTAGATGGCACAAATACGCTATCGGCTAATTTATAGTGATATATGAGTTTAAAAATATCATTATGTACGGTTTATTATAAATTGAAAATGAATAATTATAATTATAATAAATAGTCATTATTTTATGGTAAAAAATTTAATATTTATGTTACGTAAAATTGAATGTAAACTGTTGTGTACATCCAATAAAAGAAAAAAAAAAGGAAAAAAATAATTAGCAAAGCTTTATCTTCTCATTATAACTATCTAATTCCTGTCGTAATCTGTTCTTTTATGCATATAACTTAAACAAAATATAATTTCGAAGTTTCATATCTGCCAGGAGTCCCTTTTTTAACCTTGTACATAGTTTGTTTGTACTTTGTTCATGTATTGTATTGTTTGTAAATATCTCAAGCAAACCCAAACGGCTCTTTTCAAAACCACCGAAGGTGTGCAATTGCATATTATGTCATACAATCTATCTAGCGGTAGTATGCTTTCTGTGTGCTTTGTTAAACACTGTCAGCACTG